CAACAGATGGCTGGGTAGTGTGGGCGGCATATAAATTGAATAAATAAATAAATAAATAAATAAATCAATAAATAAGTAAGTAAGTAAGTAAACAAACAAACAAACAAATAAATAAATAAATAAATAAATAAATAAAATTGTTGTTCATATTTTGAATTTTGTGGGTCAGATACTGGCGTCAGAATGCAAATTCTTATAGCTCAGTCATTTAGGCCTGTTGACTGTGGAGCCAGAGGGTGGGAGTTCAATTCCCCACTGTGGATCCTTGAGAGGGGCTGGATTCAATGATCCATAAGGTCCTTTCTAGCTCTGTAGTTCTAAGATTATTATTATTAAATGGCAGCTACAGATGTATTTCACATAGCTGAAAGGCTAGGACCATTAGGGGATCTTTCCCCTTTGGATTTTGAGAGACCCACCTAGTCACCTCCTTTTGCAGGTTCCGAGTTACATTTTTAGAAGGCTAAAGAAGGGGTTGCACTGGGGAGGAAGTTGAGAGAAGGCCCGCCCACCAGCCCAGCTCCATGCCCTGTACTGTAATCTGAATCCAGTATGCAGTGTTCCAGTATTTATTTTGCTTCACTCAAAGCCCACCTGACTCTGTCTTGAGCTGCTGTTATATGCTGAGAATGTGTCTCAGCTAAGCTTAGCTGAAAACAACACTCTCTTCTCCCCATGTTCCAAGTGGACCTATCCTCTTATGCTACCCTCACCATCGTCTTGCAGCCTCCTGATGTCCTGCTTTCCTGGGATGAGCAGTGGGAGGCTCCTTTGCAGGGGTGAGTGATGCTGTCAGTTGTTGCTAGGGAACCGCTCCTTACCCTGCACGCCATGTGGGGAGTGGTGGCAGCAGCAGTTTTCTTGCATACTCTTTCCTTTCTCTCAGCTCTAGGCTTGGTCTGTGCAGCTCATTCTATAGGAAAGGAACCTGGTTTATTGAACTGGAGAAATTTGCAGTCACAGGCTCCAGGTTCTTATCTGCCACAGGGAATTCCATATGCCAAAGAATGATGAGGCTGTGTACCACTCAAATGCAAACTGAGGTACTTTCCAAACTGAGTTGGGTCCAAACTGAGCCATGTTTAGAACAGACCCGTTGAAATCAATGGGACTTAAATTAGTCCCATTGATTTCCATCGGTCTGCTGTACACATGACTAGGTCTGGATCCAACTCGCTGCCTCTTGTGCCTTGGCACAGTTTCCCTTCAACTCTTCTGACCTGCAGATCTGGGACGGCTGCAGCACAGAAAAGTCAAGGCCTGTTTATACCAGTCTATGTGGGGCCTCTTGGTCTTCCCCATATCTGCTATGTCCTCTGCTGCCCATGCCACAGGTGGTTGACCGAAGAAATAGAAATGGTAATAATCATGATGTGCTGCCAAATCTATTCATATATATATATATATATATGGAGATGACCCTTGTCAGTATTTCGTAGGTATGAAGTACTCAAAAGCAGTTTACTAGTCCTTCCTTCCCAAGGTATTCTGGGACTGTGCAGCTTGACCAAGGCTGACTGGCTGTTCTTCCAGGAGGCACCCTCAGGAATCAATCTCCTGACCTTAACTCCAGCTCACTGTGAGCTAAACAGTATTCTCTCTCTCTCTCTCTCTCTCTCTCTCTCTCACACACACACACACACACACACACACACACAAACTACAAAGGTCCCAGACTGCAAGGGAAAATGGAGAGAGGAGGGCATGTAGGGAGAACATGGTAATGTTGCAGCAAAAGATGGCCTAGTACAGGGATTGAGACCCCCCCCCCATTTTCCTCCCTGAAAGCAAGACTCTACATTGCAAAGAGCTTTTAATAGGATTTGCAGTCTGTCTGGCCTGTGATGCATTAACAGATGGTGTAAAATTCTCCAAGGACCCTAACTGAATTATGTGAGTGAAACCAGAAAAAAAGGAACAGAGGGAATTAATGCTAAGTAATTTATTTATTTATTTAAAAGACTGGGTGTGTAAAAGTGGCCTGTTCCAGTAGGAATGCAATGTTCTATGTGTGATGCTAAGTAAGCCTGGGTTCCTACCCACGCACAGGAAGTATCATTCTGGGTCACATTCCTCAGGGGGCAATGGCCACAGCACAAAGAAGCTGAGTCACAGCCAGTAACCACTTGCTTTGCCCCATGGTGAATCTTGAAATTCCCAGACTAGCCATTCTTTCATGACAAACATGGCAAACAGCGAAGGGCTCCTTTCCACAAGTTTCCCCGTGGCAACCTAGGGCATCGCATTCATGAAGAACACAATGTTACCCACCAGATCTGCACATAGTGGCTGACACTGCCTTTATGTCTATATTGTTGTGTTGCAGCTCTGGTGTGTTTGATTTTGGGATATATTTTCCAGAACTTTCTGTTTCTACAATGCCATAAAGAACTAGTACAATCTGTAGTCACTTTGTTATTTTTTGTTGAACGTTGAGTTGGCATGAGGTGAGGAGAGTAACATTTCCAAGTTCTCTGAGGGACATTGCACATGGAAGCAGACTGGAAAAAAATAAAAAAGAAGAACTGAGCACAAGGAGTGAAAGTGGTAGGATGGGAACCTCTTGTGCAAGTGTAGTTGCTAACTTTGTTCGAAGAAACTAGCAGCACAGTGAGGCTCTGGTGAACCAGCTTTTGTGAGCCAGCGCAGTCCAAAAGCTGCCTTGGACCACACTGGGCACTGAGGCCTGACATTTATTCCTTTCATCTGAGTCCAAACAAGGGCCTCCTGTCCTGAGCCCCAATTCACAAGAAGTTACCTCTCTAGGTGACTGATGGTTGATGACACCAGCAAGAGCCCAAGAGGGTTACCCCATGGAAATGGTTTCTTAAGTGGCAGGTTGGCACGGCTGCTTATCATCACTGCCTCGTTAAAAGGCCAGAACATTCTACTACATGGGGAGCAAAATGTGGTAAAATTGCCTTCCCTTCTAGAGAGAAAATACAGAGAGGAGGCTGTAAGTGAACAAGGTACCCTGAGAGAAAGAGCTCTTTTGGCCTGTGGTGACTTGTTCCTTTGTCTGGTAGAAAATGGGATCGAAGAGCAGTTGCCTCAGCTGGCCCACCAGATGATCCCGCTGCCACTTTAAACTGTCCCTCTGTGTTCATTGCTTCGCCCACTTTCTTTGGAGGGTGGGGGAGAGAGAGCGCTGCTCTGCCTACTTGAGCCCTGATACTCTTGCTTTGCCCCCATCCTGTGGTGAAGTGACAAGGTTATCTGTCCTCTCGAGCTCCTCCCCAGGGGGTTCCTCACAGCTCTGCTTCCCAAGGCTCTGTCAGGCAGGCACGACAATTTTCATTAACCACTACAGCGGCATGGTGGCTTCGTGTGTTTGTACCAACTCTGTCACCATGACAGCAGCACAGAGAGGCCTGCAGGCTGCATTATTGCTGCCATTGCCATTCCATTCTCTCTTTCTCTCTCCCCCCACCCCCGTTGCTTCTCTGCAGTCAGGAATGGCAACTGTCAGCTTTGCAGAGAGCACATGGCTGTGGGGAGGTGACATGCTGAGCTGCTCCAGGCTCTCCTCAGCAGACGCTCCAGACCCTCCCTCCCTTGAAAAGACATAGGGCCAGGCATCTCTGTCATGAGTTTTCTATCCACACACAGTCAAATGTCGCAGGCAGGCTGGCAGGCAGGCACTGACCCAATCATGGATCCAGCCTCCGCTCCAAGTTAGCATTATAATTGAAACAGAGAATACATGTTGGCCTTCCCAACCAGCTCAAAGCACAGCTACGTATATCTTCCCAGTCCCTCAGTACTTGATGTTATCGTGCCTTCTGCAGAAGGGAGAGACCTTTGCTAGCCTCTTCCATCTGTGATTGTCTTTGTTGGGAAATTTAGACTGTATTTCCAGCAAGTCCTGTTGCTAGAACTTTCAACCTGTCCCAATGTATTATATACATCTGGATTCACCACTGGGGAGGGTAAAGACGATGTCAGAGGTAGGAAGAAGGACTCTCCGTAATACAGAAGGGAGGAATTGGACTCTGGAGCTTTCAGTTGGTGACTGTTCTTTTACACCAGTTTGAGAGGAAAGAGAGAGAAAGAGAGAGAGAACAGCCAAATCCCTGAGCCAGGTGGCTGACTTTCACTCTGGCTGTCAAAAAGTCAGACGGCAAGGCTACCCTAAACAAAGAATATACAGTACAAGTGGTGGGACTCGCAATGGCATTGTTGTGTTGTGGTTGTTTCTGACTGCCAGGGGCTCCGTTCTAGTCACCATCCACATTTCCTCTTCCACAACTCTGGATCAGAATTCTGTGCCTACTCAGCATGTTTCAGACTGTCACTGGTCCTTTTGAGCTGGGTGCAAAAGGTGCCAGTCACCCCAGCTTTCTTGTACTTCTGCAAACCTGGAGGTTCTCTTGAGTCTGGCAATACCTCTCTTTTATACCCTTTTGGCTGCCAAAGTAACTGCCCACACGAAAGGGACGAGAGAGCTGGCAATTAGTACAAGATCTACATATCGCTTTCTCTATGCATCTATGAATCCAGATCTTGAGGTCAGTAAATGCCCAGCACTAGGCAACTCCCTGTAGTGTAAGAAGTCCCACACAGAGATATCCCAATGGGTATGTGCAGTTTCAAGGGTTTGGGATCTCCCTGCATCCCAAGGCTCTTCCCCCCCCCCCCCCTTTCCCCCCCCCCCCGAATTCATGAGGTCCCCACCTCCACCCCTTTTCCAACTTATTCAACCAGATAGAATCTAGGAATAGATCTCATCTTGCGTCTGCTGGTAGAGCGGAGGTGGAGGAATGGAAAGAGGCTATGAATCAAGGCCTAGGGTCTATTCTTGGCTCAGAAAGCGTGGAGTGAGCGATCCCGGATTTCTTTAAAGGGGGGGGGGCGCTGGGAGAACCTGGCCCCTCTCGGGCTCCATAGGGCTCTTCCGATTGCTCCCGCCTGCCTCTTCCCGCTTTTCCCCTGACGTCCCGTCCCGTGCAGAGGCTGCATTCGTGACGTAGAGGGGGGGGGAGAGACCCGCCCGGATCGGAAAGGACAGCGCGGGAGCCAAGCAAATCCCGGCAGGAAATTCCAATCAGGAGCAGAAAGGAGCCCCCGGGACCATCAGCCCAGCCCAGCGGCACTGCCTTTTTCGTAGTGCCGCCGCCATCACTTGCAACCTCGAGCCCTACTTCGGACGCTTCCCGGAGGAAAGCTCACGACAAACCAAGCAACTCCCCCTCCCGCCCCCAAATATCGGGGAAAGAGGCTGGCAGTTGCCGCCGGAGGGAGGAGCCAGAGGGCGGGCCTGGCGGAGGGCGAGAGAGAGAAAGAGAGAGACAGAGAGAGAACGCGTGAGCGCTCGCCGCCGCGGAGAAGACAAAGGGAAAGCGCCTCCTCGGCACCGCCCGCGTGGAGGCTGCGGCGTCGGGCGATGGGCAAGGCGGGAGAGGGGTAGCCAGCCAGCCAGCCTATGCCAGGCGCCGCTCTCCCCGCTCCCGAAAGGCGAGCAGAGGATTCCCAGGCGGTTATCCCCGCTGCCCCGGACCCAAGGCTGGAGGATGGCTCCGCCGCCTTCCAGAGATGAAGCTTCTGTGGGCGAGCCCTGATCTCGGCGCTGGAAGTGACGGTGAGGAAGAGGAAGGAAGAAGACCCTTTTCCAGCGAGGGAAGGCGGACGCGGGGGTAGGGGCGACTCTGGTGCGAGTTGCCGGAGCTGCTGGCTCAGACGCTGGGCTCTCTCTTGCCTCCTCCCCCCGCCCGCCTGCCCGCCCGCTCCCCGCGGCGAGTGGAAGGGAAAGCCTCCCCCCCACGGCCTCCCCTCTCGCCACGTGCAGCTCCGCGTCCCTCCGAGGTGTCCCCCCAAAAGCGAGCCGCGCTCCTCCTTTCCCGCCTCCCT